ACCCCACATTTCTCCTCATAGAGCCCAGCCTCCCGGATAATCTGTTCTGCATATAGGTTGAAAAGGTATGGAGATAGGATGCATCCCTGGCGTAGAAGTTATAAAGAAAACAAAACAAGAAGAATATGGCTACTCAATTTCAATTTGAGGAGAAAAAGAAGAAAAGGAACTAGAGATCTCCTAAGAGTGTTCTTGTCATTATTGCTTTTTCTTAAACTACACATTTCCCCATCATTAGAGAGCAGCGAGGGGCTAGCAAGAGTGAGCCTCAGTTACTTACATTATAACCTAAACCTGTACAAAAACCAATTCAAAAGGTGACAATTTCACATTTAAGTGAATTTAACTCAATGTTTATCTGAACAGACAAAAACCAAAACCAAAAGGAAAGAGAAAGGTAATATTATCAAATGTATTTTTGTCAATTTAAAAGCTAACTTCAGAGAATGTCATCCACATATAGCAACTTACCCTTCTTTTCAGAACTCTTCCTTTTTTCTTCAAACCATTTTCCTTTAAATCCTTCCCCATCTTGCGTGACAAGGAGAATTTCATTTTTATTTAAAGCGATATCAGAAATGAAGACTTGGCGTGGATAGGCACATCGACACTCCTTCAAAGAGCTGCTAACTGATCTCCAACAAAATACCTAAAATATCATCAAGTGACACTGGATTACAAAGAAATAACAATTTGAACAGCAAAAAACAAACAACAAAAAAAGTTGAAATCAAGAGAAAATATCTTCAAAATAAAAATTCTAGACAGTATGTTTCAATGTTCATTCTAAAGGAAAAAAGATATAAAAATCAAGGTCATTTTAAGGAAGGATTTTTTTTAGAAGAGTACATTAAGTAAACATAAAACTGTGTCAATATTACTTGTTAGGGCAAACACATCTATTGCAATGCTTAAAGTAAAAAAACCCAAACATAAAGTCATTTTATAATACAGAAAAGATGAAAATCCAAAGTTTACTCTTAAGAAAAAAATATACATGGGTAAATCAATTACATAATTCAATTATCAGAGAGGGGAAAAAAACTGTCATTGAGTCTAATGGTTTCCAAACTGTTCTGGCAAATCTTAGTATTCCTGACAAAAGGCCTAAAATAAGTGCTACTGCACAATAACAGGAAGAAGGATGAGAGACAGGGTGCTTCACTACCCATCCAGCTGCTCCCAGGCAAAGCAGAAACTCCTGTTTCATTAATTGGTTTCCCAAGTTATCATTTTCAAATTAATGCTATTCAATATAAGACCTAAGTAAATGAAAAAATGTTCCCTGTCCAGGGATAGGAAGTCTCAATATTGTGAAAATGACAATCCTACCAACAGCAATCTACATGTCCAATGCAATCAATCAGAAACGAGATTGAAAGGGAAACTGTCAAGTTTATTTTGAGGGGAAAGAGATCCCAAATAAGCAAAGCACTCTGAAAAAAGTTTAAAAAAAAAGACAATGAAAGTGAGAGGCATAGCACTCCCTGATGTCAAAAACCAAATCATCATGGTACTGGTACAATGACAGGCAAATAGCCCAATCGAACAGTTAGAATCCTGAAATGGACTCATCTATCTATGGTCAACTGATATCTGACAAGGAAATAAAACTTATCAAATGGGGAAAAGACAACCTCTTCAATAAATGGTGCTGGCAAAACCGGATGCTAACTGTACAAAGCTGAAGCAGGATCCACATCTCACACGATACAGAAAAATCAACCCAAAGTGGATCAGAGACCAGGGAGTAAAGTTCAAACCATAAAGTTCATCAGAGACAAACTGGGACCAAGGACTGACAAATACAGCCAAAAATGTGGAGAGGATAAAACTGATGAATGGAACCTTCTAAAGATTAAATCTCTGTATGCATCAAAAACATTTTCCAACAGAGTGAAAATAAAACCTAGTGACTGGGGAAAGGCATTTGACAATACCATTCCAGACAAGGGTCTAATAGCAAAAAATTACAGAATCCTACAGGATCTCCACAAGAAAAAGACTGGTAATACAATTACAAAATGGGCAAAAGACATGGAAAAACTTTTCAGAGAGGAAAATATCTGGATGGCCTACAGACACATCAAGAACTGCTCCAAATCACTGGCAATAAGAGAGATGCAAACCAAAACCACATTGGGATACCATCTCACTCCAGTGGCAGTGGCAAAGTTTAACAGGATAGCAAGTAATAAATGTTGGAGAGGATGTAGAAAGATAGGAACGCTAATATACTTTTGGTGGTATTATAAAATGGTACAACCACTTCGGAAGGTAGTTTGATGTTTCCTCAGAAAGCTGACCATAGAAACTCCATATACTTCACTGCTTGGAATATACCCCAAGAAAATGAGAATCGAGGCACAAGTGAAGACTTACACACCAATGTTAAGAGCAGTTACTCACCATTACAACATGGAAACAGCCCAAATGTCCAACAACAATCGAATGGACTGAGAAATTATGGTACATTCACGTGATGGAATATTATGCAGCACACAGGAGCAATGCTTTTGAAAATCACTACCTAACTTGGAAGGGATTGGAGAGCATTGAGATACACGAACTAACTTAGTCCCATTAAGACAAATACTGTATAAGACCATTATTAGAGAAACAGAAAGAAGTAAAATGTGTATGAGTATCCAAGGGGGGAAAGACAGGAGTAGAGGGGTAAGGGTGGGCAGTGGGAAATCATTGGGTTGCACAATTTGATGGGAAGAGGAAGGGGTGAGTAAAGGAAATGGGAAAGATCAGGTGTGAAAAACAATGTATATGAACTTTTTAAGTAAACCAGTATGAAAGAAAAATTTTATTTAAAGAAAAGTGTTACTGATTTTCAAAATTTCATGTCCTCATAATCAAGTTTAAAAAGCTGTAGCAAAGAATGGCAGCTCATAAGGTCATTCAAAAGCTATATCAATTAAAGACTCTACTGATTAATGACTTACCCCTCAAAAGTTTGGCATTCAGAGAAAGACTTTCATTTTTCAGACAATAAATAGCCAACATGTAAGGTATATCCATATTAATATAAGCAAAAAGTGAGTATGGTGTTTTTTTTATATTGAATTCTTGTATTTAAGTTCATGTCTTCAATTTCCTCTACTAGTACGAACAGTGCTCAGGCCTTTAGTTCATAGGGTCTCTATTATGAGTTGTCTACGACTCAACGACGGCACCTAACAACAATAACAATGACAGCAGAGGGACAGCTACATTGGCTTAGTGGAAAGAAACTTATGCTACTAAGCCGAAGGTGGGTGATTTTAATCTGCGGCCTTCGGGTCGGGATAATACTGTTTTCCTGTCAAACATTCTTCTAGGTGGTATAGCACTGGTCTGTGCACTGCTGTACAGAGGTAACTCGTGGTTGCTGTGATGCTGAACACTGGGACACTGATGTGCCAAACGTGGTTAACGGTTACCCATGGTGGACAGTGTTGGTTGGAGCTTCCAGACTAAAACAAGCCTGGAAGCAGGAGCAGCATCCACTTCTGAAATGGCTTGCCTCCAGAAACTCTATGTACGAACAGTGCTCAGGCCTTTCGTTCATAGAGTCGCTATGAGTCATCTATGACTCGAAGGCACCTAACAACAACAACAGTACAAATTAGAACTCTAGCTTGCTAGGATCTACAATCAACACTTTTAACACCAGCAGTTAGGAAATCAAAAGACAAACTGCATTAGGAAAATCTGCTGTCATGGACCTCTCCAGAGATCAGTCTAGATAAAAAGGTGCACCTAATCCAGGCCACAGTCTTTTCAATTACTTGTTATGCTTCAGAGAGCTGGCCGATGACTAAGGATGACAGAAGAATAGATGTCTTCCAGCTACGGTGCTGCAGAAGAGTCTTGAATATACATACCATGGATTGCCAACAAAACAAGTATGTCTGTCTTGGAGAGGGTGAAAGCAAGTCTCTCGTTGGAGGCTAGGATTTAGAAGTTCTGCCTCATGTGGCCAAGAGTGATTGGTCCTTGAAAAAGGACATCATGCTTGGAAGGATGGATAGACAGTGCAGGAGAGAGAGATCCCAGATGAAATGGATTGATAGAGTGACTGGGGCAATGGGGTTTGGTGTGTCAGAATTACTGAGACTGCCTGAGGAAAGGGAAGGGTTCAGAGCTGCCGTACATAGGGTCGCTATACATTACAGACCACTCAATAGCACAGAACAATAACATACTATGACAGGTTTGAAAGCAGGAGTGGCATCCACTTCCTAAATAACATGCCTCCAGAAACTCTATGCACTTTGATAAATGTTTATGGTTGTAGAGGGGTTTAAGGCATTTTGTTCATAGGATCGCTATGAATGGTACTCAATGCGAAGGCAATCAACAATATTAATCCCAATTCCTACCTAAATCAAAACTATGAAGCACAGTAGACTACTAGTTTTTCAGTCTCTACAATGACAATATTTATAATCCATCATCAACCTCAGTATTATTTTATCTTAGAGATAAAAAATCAGAAAACTATCACTATTTTCCTAATTATAGAGTTTAACTTTTTCATTATTTTTATAATATACATCTTTAAATATCTTAAAAGAGATATACTGAATTTTTTTGCACAGCCAACTAAAATTAGAGCTGTTTACTTCGCATACATAATTTTTAGTTGCTGTGAGGCTGAACACTGTGACACCGATGCATCAAATGTGTTAATGGCTGGTTACCCAATGTGGACAGAGAGTGGGGTGGAGCTCCCCAATTAAAACAAGCTTGGAAGGAGGAGTGGCATTCACTTCCATAACAGCTTGCCTCCGGAAACCTTATGAACCTGGAGAGAGGATGAGAGACACCCAAGCGTTGAGGACTGTCCTTCATAGGGTCGCTATGAGTCACCTGCAACTCAACTACATGTAACAACAACAACAGTGGTCGCAGAAAAACTATCTTTTACTTATACTCTAAAGAGCTAAAATTCCATGTTTTCTTAAGTGTACACTCGTATAATAGTATATTTGTGGATATTTTACATCTTTTGACTGAATTTCTAATGTTGCCAACCTTGCTTTTTACTTTTATAAAGCATAACATGCTGTATGTATCTCTCACCTATGCAATCAGTATCAATGATCTGTATTTTAATGTACAAGTGAAATAATTGATTAAATCTTATTTTGATTTTAAGCACAAGAAGTGAAATTATAAACTACACCTTAACACAGACATAGTGTGGAATATTTATTAAATGTCATCTTACTTTTCTTCAAAAAATTCGTACTTTATATCAAAATTAGGGAAACATTCATAGAGAATTTTTACTAACATAACATTACCATTTTACAAATACAGAATTGTAAATGAGATTCTGAAACTTTTACATAGATATACACTCACCCTTCCAGCTCCATCCATTACAAGAATGCAAATTTTTTGACCCCCATTTTCTTTCAAATGTTCAGGATCAACTTTATATTCCATGCGCCCGCCGGAAACAAGAACTTTTTTCAAATTTAGCTGTCTGAGGGGGAAAAAAGTTAAATGGTTTTCCAAAATAGAGATGTTAAATTTTACTTTCTTTTTTTTTTACATTTTTATTGTATTATTTTTACGTGTACCGTCAAATCAGATCTGACTGGTACAGAAGATTGACCCCTCCTTCTCCAGCAGAGCATCTGGTGGATTTGAACCACGTACCTCTGGGATTGCAGTGCAGCGTCTTGCCACTAGGCCACCAGAGCTCCCTAGATGCTCAATTTTAAAGATATTGCTATCTGGAAAAAAATAACCTACAGTTGAGCACTGTGAAAGGTAAAGTAAGAAGGATTGGTTCTGGTATCTGAGTCT